AGACTAAACAAAACTTCTAAAAAACTATTTTTTCTACACTTCCAAAAGCCTTTGATTCAAAAACGCAAATCAGCTACTGGTAAATGGTTGTTTTTTTGTAATTTAAAAAGGCTAACTTTCTGTAAGCTAATATTCAGAAATTTTATAGACTCTTCATGTAAGTTGCGTGCGACAAAGTCACCAATTCTAGGTCGTTTTTTGAAGTCTTTTTAAGAAATGCACAAGAGAAATTATGCCAGAACACTATTCAGTTTTAGCCAAATAAGTAATTCATTTGATCTTATTTGAACCGATAAGTCAATCGCGACTTTTATACCAAAAAATTACAAGTTTTCGTCATCTTGGATACTGCAGCTGATAATAGTGAGTTAGAAGCAGGAAAATGCTATTAAAAAAGGCTGTAAATGAATAAGGAATCGAATAAGTTCTGAAAACAGCTAACCTGACGCTTATCTAAAAGCAGCAGTTTAGGAGCCTCAACAAATCACCAGCTGATAGCGTCAAAAGCCATTATTCCCATTTTTAACTACTTCTGCATCATTACTTTTTTCGACTTTAGAGGTTACTAAAAAGTTTTAAAAATAGCCAAGTAAAAGCTTAATCCAAAACGGCTTACCACAAAGTTATTTCTGTTATGCTCGTACGTTAGGAACAAGTATTTGAGAGTATTCGACAACTGAAAGTTGACAGTGACTACTTAAAAATGCATTCTAAACGAAAATTGAAATGTTCATTAAAGAGTGTACAATTGAACTAAAAAACTGTATTGAAAATACAAATCGCTGAGCAGAAGATCATACCGAACTATCAACGTTTTAAATTGGTAACTTCTTCAATGACGCCCTTTATTTTTTTTCACTAATCATCAAACACTTTTCTGCTACAAAAATAAAAAGGAAATGTGGTTTTTATACAGTGTTGATGACAACCGATATGGTTGTTTTCAATAATGTTGGTAAGAGTTCCAGTTTTGAAAGAACTGATAACTCAAAATCAATTAATTAATGAAGTATTGAGCTAAGGCTGTTCTTCACTCTTTACAGTTATGCATTTTACAATGCGCGAAGAGAAAACGCCTTTTTTTGGTAAGCAATAACCCGAATAAGTTCGTAGAAACTGTTTCTAAAAACGTTCTTTAACTGAGCAAATATATTGTCTGTTAAATATCTATGACCAATAAGATATTTTTCTCCATTTGTTAAAGCTGTCGTTGAAATATAATTTATAAAACAGTAGCATCCAAATCTCATTGATTGCAGATTGCTAAGCAGATAAATTCTGCCTTATTACTCAATAAAAATTTTTTTATGTTACAGAAGATCAAAATTTTATTTGTTGATTATCCGCCTTGACCTCTCTCCGTCCAGACTTTTTTCGTCGATAAAGAGGAATAAACGAATAGACAGACGAAAAAGAAGATAGCAAGACTTTTTAAGTTTAGAAATAGTTAGCAGTAAGAAAAGTTACTCTAAAGCGTTAAATTTGAACTGTACCTCAGTTTCTACCAGAAAAAATTCTTCTTTAGTAAAATTTCCAGTTAAGAGAAAATGCAACAATGCCCTTTAGTTGCTTAAATCGTACAAACTTTACAGCGTACTAAAAAAATGCTTTACTTTAAACTTTAACTCTCATTTCATAACTCTTGCCCACTTTCTAGTTCTTCTTCTACGTCCACCAGTTGCTGCAGTTACTTTAACACTGTGGAATATTAGTTGGAAATTCTACAGTGAAATGCTTCATTTAACTGCTTTACACACCGGTAGAATGATTTATTACACTGTCACTACTCACTCCGAACCGCACTAACAGTACTGCAGTTACATAAACTTTAGACCACAATTTTCTTATCTTTCTTTGAAACAACAAATTCTAGTTCCACTTTTTTCCAGCGGTATCAGACTTCATTCACTTCAAAAACAGTAAATAAAGAATTTACAGAAGATTACTGAACAGTAACGTTGCATCAACGGTGTATAAATAGTTAAACACCTGTGTTAACAGTCAAAAATTTTCAAATTTTGTACTTGTCGACAGTCTCTTTAAACTACAACTACCTAAATTAACCTTTGTGAAGCTTACAGTCAGTTTTGATTATATCTCTTCCAATTTCAAGACTATCTTTTTTCTTCTCTGTTCTTTCAACGTATACACTGCGCGTAAAAGTGTTTCCGTTTTACTGGTTGTATAAAACGATCAAAAAAATATTGAAACTAGTTCTTAAATATTCTTCTACCTTAAAATATTTCCAGAAAATAAATTAAGTATGTCAGACAGCAGAATTACCCACATAACTAGAGACACCAACATTATTGGTGCCAAAATAAATAAGATTTACAAAATGATACTAAGTCGTTCTGCCTTAATTATTACTACTAATAAAAAAATATTACTTTAAATAATTACTTTTACTGATGTCTTATTTGTCTGCATCTAGCAGCTAATGTCACACAAAAAAGACAATTTAGAATCTTTTTGATGCAGGTCGGCAAATCCTAACGCATCCCAAAGTATCTTCTTCACTGCTTTTTCTGATAACCTCTATTTTTATAGCTCATATCAGAACAAATGTTTCAATTCATTTTCGTCAGATATTCAAATTGGTGAGATCAAAGGTTTAGGCGCCCCGTTAATTAAACGACTCCTATTTTCAATCATCTGTGAGAGCCATTACTTCTAACAGAAGAAAAACGAGACAACTTCAGATAGAAACCATTGTTAAGCAGAGAAACCATTTATCTCCCCATCATAACAGACAGATATATTAATATATAAGCATCACTCACTCAAACTGATTCTGCAGAAAAGTGTTACAAATTTTGCAAACAACTTAATGAATTACAATAAGTAACAGATTGCATATCACTTGGTTACTCTCAACGCCATCCACGGAGAAACTCTTATAAGACACGATTGCCTTAACAATTGATACAATTTTTGGTAAAATAAAACGCCTAACCTAAAGTTAATATAATACATTCTTACACAACAGCACTTTGTTAACATCTCTAGAATCGTTCTTTGAAACAAATTTAAAATTTTTCTCTTTGCAACGAGGGAACCAAAGACTGTTTGAAATCGAGAGGAGTTTTGCTGTTACCAATATCGCTGTATACATCGCTGGCTCTCTATGTTTATAGCATAGAATGTGACTACACCTTCAGGTTGAAGTTTCAAATTCATAAAAATGTATCTAGAAAACAGAAAGACTTGATAAAAATGTGAAATTTTCTTTGACTTTTCGCAAGCCGAGTTTAATGGTTTTAAAACGAGTAACTGCGCTACGAGCTAGACAAAAAAACTTTTACG